TATTCTTACAGAAGTGATTCTTGTTGCCCTCATATGCCTATTGCTCAAATGATACTTGCTTGAACTGTGCGCTGCTACTTCACAGCCAATGTCGGGTCCTTCGTTACTATTTTGACGTATTTTGTATCGGCCATTTTCCTCGTGAAGTAGTGAGAGCAATATTCAGTAAAGTAAAGCTCGGCTTTAAAACTTGTCGACAATCTCAGTTAGCCATCCAGAAGAGGGTATATCTTTGAAGTGTATGAGATGCAGAGAATATTTGTTTTATTTCGTTTATTGATCTTCTGACACGATTCTCTTAATATTTTTGTGTTGACAATTGCATTCAAAGACTTTACTTTAACGTTCTACGATGGAATTTCGATAGCCTTATCATGCCATTACTGTTTGGTGGATTCAGAGTGAAACTAACTCAACAAAAGGGATAGATTTGTGCAGTTAAACAATCATCTACAACATTACATCTTCACACGTAAGCAGTAAAAAGTTGCACATAAAAAACCCAAAGAACAGAAGGCACTTGTTGTTGTGAATGCCATTATTGAAGACTTTTTAATGAATGGAAGCAGCTTGTTGTTTTCCCGATACCTGAAATACTTTTAATCATTTCTCTTTCTTAGTGTTTAAAATGTGTATTCGTGAATGCCTGACCGAAAAAGTGAAAAATAATATATGATGGTTGAGAATTAATCGTGAGCTCTATTTATTGCATAATTATCGTTATCGTCGATCGTTCAATGGAAACACTTCTTTGATCCAGTATTCTCAAAATAAAAATCAACTTCCTTAACGAACCAGCTTTATCATTTTGCAATAGCTTGACTAAATTGTTCCTTTTTATCACCTCGGGTATTTTACTGTGAATATTCGATATCAGCGCAAGAACTGAGAACAAGATGAAACGAATGAACACCTACCTGCAAGCAACGTACCAACCAAATGGTACACCAACAATTAGACCAGCTTTAAACGATTTTGCAACAATTTCTTTGAATTGTTCGGCGCAACTTCCTTGCTCACGTTGTCTCTTAGCATATTGCTTGATTGATGCATAACCTTGTAATCTGGACGGGTATTCAAGTCGGTCGTCGTCGGTCATTTTTCGTTCGTTTGATGGTAACGCAAATCTCTGAAATGATCAATTCTCATTCCTTTTTCCAGATCGAATATCCTCAAAACATTTTTTGCGTAAATATTAATGCGGAAGGGTAATAAACGAAGTGAACCAAAGAAAACGACCATATTGAATGTGTAGAATAATAAGTGATGAGTGAATTACACGCGAACAATGACCACTGCTGTCACCCATTTACAATGATCGTTTCTGTTTGTTTCAGGNGAGTGAATTACACGCGAACAATGACCACTGCTGTCACCCATTTACAATGATCGTTTCTGTTTGTTTCAGGTGGAGTAATGTTTCAGTACTACGTAAAAGTTATACCAACAATGTATCAGTTTCTCGACGCAACAAATGACCTTTTTAGTCATCAGTTTTCGGTGACAACTCATCAAAAGAACATCGCGATGGGTATTGCTGGTTTACCTGGTTTATTCGTGCAATATGAATTTTCACCTTTAATGGTTAAGTACGAGGAACGGAGACAGTAAGTTGTGTTGTGCTAGTTTCACCGTATTGATATTTCATTATAAGCTTGAGGCGAATACTTATTCCACAAACGAGATAATATTGTTTTGAAACATTGTTTTTCAATTGCTTGATCCGTCACTTCTGAATGTTTGTTGATAATAGCTTTGATTTCGTTAGTTTCAATGAAATTTTTTGACATCGGAATTCTTCAACGAATGACTTCTATCGATGCGTTTGTCGGAGTAACGGTAACGCGGATAAAATAGTTGAAGATGAGAATTTACTTCTAATTACAGGCCGTNCGTTTGTCGGAGTAACGGTAACGCGGATAAAATAGTTGAAGATGAGAATTTACTTCTAATTACAGGCCGTTGTCGACGTTTTTGGTATCGTTGTGTGCAATAATTGGTGGTGTTTACACAGTTGCGAGTTTAATCGATTCATTAATCTATCATTCATCAAGAGTTATCCAACACAAAATTGAATTGAATAAATTCAACTGATTGCTGACATCCTTTTGTTGAATATTGTTTGTAGAAAGTGCATAAGAACGATAATGATTTTGGTTAATTTTATAAGAGAACGAAATTTTTGTTTTGACATGTGAATGGAATCAATATTGAATGAATACATTGGATACTGAACGCGTAAACTAACTTTTATTGAGTAAAGTTAACTGTGATATGTTACAATGATGCCTTTGTGTACGGATTGTCGAATCAAACGAGATTTTATTTATTTATTCATTAGGGGATCCTTTTGTTTTTACATTCATCGTTATTATTTTTGACTCTTCTCGTTGTCAGTTTCTGTGAATGTGCGATATCATGCAGTCTTCTTTTTTCGTTTGCATTTTGAAAGAAACTTATCGTCTTTAGAGTAGTCGAACATGTTTCTCTATTGGATTATCATAAAAANTTTTTTCGTTTGCATTTTGAAAGAAACTTATCGTCTTTAGAGTAGTCGAACATGTTTCTCTATTGGATTATCATAAAAAGCTTCACTGAATGACTTATGAAATGAGATTGATTACATACAAAAAATGACTTAATGCATCGCGTTTCTTTCGATTATTCGATTCTCGTCGGGTCTTTCTCTTATCCTCATTGTTATCTTCATTCTGTTAAAAGTGATTCCGTGTTTGGGGTTCACTGTTTTATGTTATGATTATACCGTGAAAGTTCAAAACAGAAATAAATCGCTGTCCGTCGTAATTACGATTCATCGAATACCGTCGACTCATCAAGATGGCGGGTTGACTGCTTTACTTGAGGACAAACATTTCGAAATTTCACGGTATGAAGAAGCTTGTACGTTACTGTGCCAAAAATATTTGATATCAGATTTATATTTGACAGTTATATAACAGTTGTTGCCTTTCTTAATAAATCACTCACTTTAAAAGTAATCTTTCAGAACTAGTCAATCGATTCAAAATTGTTATTCCATCAGTTCTAACTCATAAGTATACAAACTGAAAGTGGTTATATTCGTTTCGGTTTATTCGATGATGCTCGAAAATTACAGGTGACTGACGAATGCTATTTACAACTGGAAGCATTGAAACACTAGAGAAGGATAGAAAATTTTGGAAATTGTTGGGATTATCTGACTGAAATTTAAGCGAACAGTTAAAATATTTCATGTTACTTGAAGATGCTAAGAAAACCTTTGAATTTCTTTGAGAGTTCGCTTTGATAAAATCTTTTCTGAAACATGATTATTTTCTATTTTATTAATAAATATTTTATAAATTCTGATTTTTCTATTTTTTAAACGATAATAAATTTAGCAGCAACGCCGATGTATTCTCAAATATTTGCAAAAAACAGCAATATGGGTAACAAATGAAGCGAGTGGCACATAAACGAAAGTCAATTAGTTTATTCAAGTTCAAGCCATTTCTCTTACATTCTGTATAGAACCATATCAATCAAGAAAAAATTTCACTGAAGACACGTTATGTCCTCTACATTATTGGTATGAGTTTTTGATAGACGTCACCAACATCTAGTCGAACCTTACAGAAATACAAAACCCTTCTCGGCTTCACATTCATCCTAGTTGTTTTGATATCTTCCACAATGAACAACATAATATGCGCCACAGAACCACAGATGCATTTTCAAGCGATTCCAATAAATGCAAGTGATTCCTGCTGGATAATGAATAAAAATCATGGCCAATCGTATCTTCGCAGTTATATGTCGATAACGTACGCAATCGAAGATCGGTTCAATAACGATAATTGTTACTGAAACGCTCGCGTTAAGAATCTGTACTGATGGCTCGCTTCGACAAGCAAATGAAAATATTTTGAGAGAAAATTGAGGAGTTCAAACGCAGCCATCAATAGAGATTCCTTTAATGCATATGAGCCACAATTGGAATACGAGATAAAACTCTCATTTTTTACGCAATACATTAAACATTGTTCACAATTCAGTAACAACAATAATAATCATACAAGAAACAAACCATAAGCTAACAGTTGCAGTGTTTCTGTTCAAAACAATCATTTAGATAGACCGATTTATCAATTCAACATTCAATAAATACACTCATTCAATGCGCGCAAGCAGCAAATGATAATAACATGAAATTATATTATTTGATCAGATGAGCAATTCCTCTGAATGAAATTGTGCGCAATACATATGGACAGAATAGTTTTTAAAAAAACAATATTCAGCTATATACAAAGTCTTGTCAAATGACACTACTGAAAACCTTGTAGCATAGAATCTGTGCCATAAAATTCGTATTTTTTGACTCTCCATCCAAACGAATTGTTTCATGACTAAATAAATGTGGAAGTTTGACTCAAATAGTCGTGAAACAATTCAAATGTGATGAAAACTTGAACGATCCATAAAGTGGTAGAATGTTAATTGTTGTTGTAAGAAGATACAAAAAACACTGAAAGAATATGCGAAACAAGCGATAGTACTCATCTTAAAGCATCGTAAATTCAAACTATTAAAACAAGAAGTACGACATCAACAAACGTCAAGATACATCAGACAACGAAATAACATGAACGCATTGATAACAAAGACAACATCTTCCATATAATACACGATAAATAATAACCGAGCATGAGACTGGGTAAGATATGATGGTGCTATAGGTCGAATATGGTAACTGAATTGGAAATATTACGCAGATGAAACCTTTAATAATTGGTTTGATTCATTATATTACAGCACATTGTGTCATTCAGCCGATTACGCGTTAACTTGAATCGTTCAAATAAACCATTTCGAGAAAGGGACAGTGAATGGATGCCCAAAACGCTGAAAGAGATATTTGCGATGGGGCATTGAAATTCACTTCAGAATTACTTTATTTTCAGTTATGTTCTAGTCGCGATGCAAACTGTGCTACTTTATGAACACCCCCCTCCCCCTCCTTCTCAAATCGATCACATCACAACTTCAGTCATAATTCAACGATTTGTGTGGAACTTTATATGCTCACATAATCGCATGCTCATACACAAATGAGATATTTTCAGTGTTGCAGCAGTCTTGTGGGATGAAAATGAAGGCTTCATAATCTACGAATATTCCACAATTGATGTGATTTGATCTGAGGGTGACAACAAAACTAGAAATATCGCATTTGTACAACTGCATACGACAGTATGAGCGTACTAAACTCCATGCGAATCAGTCGGCTTAATAAAAGGTATGAGATGACCTAGGGAGTGTAGATGCTCAATCGAACTCGAAATACATCCTGATAGCCATTTTCATTTCACAACTGCGTTCAAAATACGACCAATCTATTCCCGTCATGAAGATGGAATCAATTTAAAATATATTATTCATTTTCCATGACCAATCCACTTTTTAACCACGTGAGGAAATTTTACAGATCTTTCAACGATATATCATGCAAAATTGGATTCGCGATCGACTTTTTAGAGATGATTTTCGCGAGACTGTTACCATTTTCATGGACAGTGATTCAACTAGATAATTTAGCATTAACTTCAGTGGAATAGTTTCCTAGGACGCGACCTCATACTGCAAAATAATGCAAACGATTAGATAATTCCATATAAACAGAAGGACGGTTTGATTCGAACAGACCTCTGGCTCAAACTTTACCTATAGCTCTACCGTGAGGTATAGGAAAAAAGTAAGCCAATTAGGCCAACTTCAACTCTTCTTATGTGTACGGCATTCACAATGCGTAACAATCTTTCAATGAACAACAGCCTCTGTAACATGAAAAAAACATTGACTGAATAATTACACAGATATAGACAGACATACAAGCGAATAACAAACGAACAAACAATTAATACTCTTATCTAGAATACGTTACTAAATAAACGAAATATGATATATATTCCAAAATAAAAAGAGGTTTTCTGGAAGAACGAGACCGATTTTCAATTACCGCAAATCAAAAAATTGGCGAAAACTCCAGCAAAATTTCAACAACAACGACTTTTCAAAGTCGTTCCCTCAAACAATAATCCACATTCATCAGGAAATATTCCCTGAAAGTTTGACTTGAATACAACAGTTTCTTGAACGTTCAATGAAATTATCTGAAAAAGAATCATACTCCCGCATTGATTATTGGGTTGATGAAAAAGTTCCGGTACTTCGATGCAGAACGTTTCATTTTCATAACAAATTCACTTTAATCAATCAGAGAATCACAAATGCACGATCTATTAACCCAAACCTTGCTACGGTGGAAGAGCAATCCATCCGTAACTGAAGCGAGGTTGTTATCTCATCATATCATTAAAGATTGTTATTTTCTTGAGTACCATACACAGCACAGCGTTCGTAAGTTCTGAACAAACTGGCAAAATTTACACTTTCATGCGGAGGAACTTCTGACATCATTTTGCTCAAGTGAATAACCAACAAATAAATTCTTCAGTAAATGCAATGTTATGATCGGTATGTTTCACAAAATGCTGTTGGAAATTTCCTTTCTTGAAAATATATATTTCACCTACGTTCAGAGCTTAGAAACAGCCTGTAGATGGTAACTACTGGATCCCAATGAGTAATAATATCTCAGAGTTACGAGTCAAACATCACCGATTCGAAGACGCAATGAATCCCAAATCGATTACGCCACAACTCTTGCATGCGATGCTCACTTCAGTGCTCTGATGGCAAATGTTCCAAAAGCCAAACATAGGACACAAAGCGCCACGATGAAGCGTTGAATTGAAGAACATCGCATAGAGGAGCTGCTGTTTAATCGATTTTGGATTCATTGCATCTTTGAGTCAGTGGTATTTTGACTGCTAGACCAGTGATATCTGAAGCAAAGCAGCTTAGATGAGCNCGTTCGTTCATCAATCATTTGCAAAAAAACCAAAACAATCGCATCAACCCAACAATGTTGTGTCAGCAGTAAACATTCGCCACGACGTATGATTTATTGCTAATGTTTGCAACCGTTGCGACTGTTGTTCGAGCGATATTCCAGCAGAACCATTCGGTTGCATTCCTTCTGAACTCAGCTCTCTCTTCTCGTCATCTGTTAATGCTATGTTCGGTACTACTTGATCGTCCAATTCATCGCTCTAAATGATGAAATGTTTTTTAACGAACTGATAAGCGTGTGATTAACAAGCGAATGCCTAATAATAAAGATAAGAATATCAAGAGATAAAAAACGCCAGTGTTGCTCAGTAAATCCACAATAAACTAGTGACGAGAGTGAAATCAATCGAAATGAAAAATACATTTTGATAAGAATGTTGTTGCACTTGACGAACAGAGGACGATAAACTGGAGTTGTTCCGCTGAGCTGATAGAGACCGATGAGATGACGACGGGTGGGAATGCAAACGATTAGCAGCTGATGATATCGACGATGCAACTGAAGATGAATCAGCGGATATGGAGGATGCATGCAGTACACTACCTGACAAAATTTCATCAGTTTTCATTTATTCAAATCAAAAAATCTACTCGATCAATTTACCATTGCAGTAAACAATGTGGTAGGCACAAAATCTCATCTACGAGGAATATGTCGAACGAGATCGTGAATTATCTCCACCTTAAAACGTACCGAAGTGACAACTCTACAGCCGATTCCCATCAACCATTATCAATTAAGATGCAAACAAACAAAACCGTAAATAAACAAAATAGCACTTCGAGCATAGCTAGCACACATACCATTTCCAACAACCGGTGAAGCAGTCATCCAGAACCTAATCTTTTTCGATAGTGTTTCAGTGCCACTCGATATCCATGGCATATGCAGTAACTGCCTAGCAGTGGGTCTTTCACTTGGCTCTTTCCGCAACATACCATAGATTAATGCTCGAACTACAAAAATTATGTTTTGAACGATGCATGAGAAGTGTTTCGTTTCAACAATCACTTATTGCCTGAATAACTCCTGCCATTCTATTATAAGGCCAATTGAAGTGAGAATCATGTTACGCTGATAAATAATCAAACAATGTTTAAAAGGCTGCTCTACCTGCAAATGATACATCTGCATCAACTGGTATGCAAAATCGTGCCTTTAATATTCTTGAAAACAACCGCTGCGGGGTTGCATCATTGAATGGATACCTGAAAACACGACAATTTTCTCACTGCCTTCGACAAATTGTCGGGTGGATGCATCATCCAGGTCTGAACATACGGCACTGTGGAAGAACAACTTGGTGCACGATTCAATGAAACGGGGCAAGCAGTGAATATACTCAACAGATTCTATTCTAATAACAAAAATGAGGTGTTTATGAGTGTTATCAATTAAGACATTCCCAACTGAATACTGAAGCTTGATCACCAAATGCATGAAAAATGAAGTTATTTCTGAAGATAGTAATCTGATGAGTATCTTCAAAAGAAACATTATTGAAAATAAAAATAGCGATCAAGTGATCAAGCACGTAAGTAAACAAGCAACATCATCAGCTAACCGTCTAAAGAGTAGTACGTATAATAAGACACCCAAAGCCCACACATCGGCCGGTCGCCCGGCATACTGAGCAGGACCCTTGATGAGTATTTCAGGTGCGACGTATGCAGGGCAACTGTGTCGATCACGCACGCCATCATTACTAACATTTTCGCACACAAACAAATCAAATACGTCGTGCAGTCGTAATCGTGTTCTGAAATAAGACATTCTCCAACTGAATGAATACTGCAAACTTCTGTGATTTACACTGCATTTTTCGACGATATCGAATGAATAGCAAAGTAAAGGGCAGTTTGAGTTGTTTTTGGGGCGGTTGTTACAATGCAAAAAAGTGGATCAGTCATTGGACGGACTTTTCTTCGAGAAGATACAAACGAATAAATAGTATGCTGCCTGAAAAAACAGCGCTAAATTGGCTTCAAATTATACCATCGTGAATTTAAAGATTTAAGGGTCATTTAAATGATCGAAAAGTAGAGGATGCCTACTCCTTAACGAGACGTCTCGAGGCACTTACAATTGTTGATCAGTGAAGATGAATTTTCGCAATTTGAGATCTCGAAGAATCACTCCGATCGAGTGACAGAACGTAACAGCCCGAACGATTTGTTTGAACAAAGGCTGTACATCCAACTCAGATAGCATGCATTCCGTCAATTGAACTTTTTGTTGTAAATTACCATATCGCATCGGTGAGAACATAAAACGACGGCCTGTGTCATCTTCGAGCACCTCAGTCTCCGAAGGTAACACAAATTCCCTGCAAACGTTCCACTCAGTGATTCAGTCCACAACCAGCAATAAAATCACATTGAAAATGACTAATTTTGAATAGGGTGATTGCGACGGAAAGTTGATGTCATAAGTGAGTGTCCCCCATTTAACAGTTGGTTACACAATTACACGTAAAGGACAGATGCTTATCTCGAGCAGTCGATGACCTCCGAAGGTAACACAAATTCCCTGCAAACGTTCCACTCAGTGATTCAGTCCACAACCAGCAATAAAATCACATTGAAAATGACTAATTTTGAATAGGGTGATTGCGACGGAAAGTTGATGTCATAAGTGAGTGTCCCCCATTTAACAGTTGATTACACAATTACACGTAAAGGACAGATGCTTATCTCGAGCAGTCGATGACAACACTGACATCATTGATTGCTGCAGATAAGCGTGTACACTTTGTGTTAAGGCTGATTGTGCAACATTTATGACATCAACTAATTGAAACCTTATTCAAATCAAATGCACAGATATTATCGACGAACAACAAAACGTTATATCACCAACCTCATTTCTTCTAAATCGTCATACTTCCAATATTTTTCAGCTTCATTCAATCGTTCTCTTATCTTCAGAATCTTTCGATACTGTTCGCAGTCGATCAACTGCAATATAATCTATGCATTTCAGATTGTATGAATGGAAACAACTGCTCAAAATTAATCAACAAATGATATTCACTGAATGAAACCACTAATGGAGGAAAACTTAACATTACGAAAAAATTTTAACCCTTTTTTGTGATGTATCAATAATGGTGAACGGCTAAGCTGACTAACAATAAGACTAATAATTATTACTATCTGCAAAGAAACACCACTCAGTTTCCAGCACCTCAACTCAGCACCTGGTCCATTTGAAATTTTGAATTTTCTCCTCCTAACACCGAAGGCAACTTAAATATGCACGAACCTGACAAGTTTTAACAACTTTTGTTTCTATATGAGATGCGGTAAATTCTTTACCGGCCCCTATCAATTGATAACCACAAACAATTGCATTATTGAGACTTGGCCATGATCCGCATATCTGAAGTGATAAAAGAGTATGACTTTGTTAGTGAATGACCAAAGGCTGGATTGATACATAACACGGACCATTGAGCACATATTAACTGCAGCCTTTAATGTCTGTTCGAAGGAGTGACGGGCAATGTTCAACAAAAAATTAATGGC